AACACATGCACAAAGCACACAACACAATGGCGACAAAGGAAGCACTAGACCGTTGGCGGGGTCTACCGTCTACCGCCGCCTATCGCCTCTCCCGGCCGCCCTATGGCTTCTCTTGGTGCGCCCAGCCATGTGGTTTTGCTGGCCTCATCTGGTTGCTTGCATCTATCCAACCCGTCTTGACGGTATCACTCAATGGTCGCCCAATCGACATCTCATTGCCAAGGGGGGTCATGACAGCCAAAACATGCTCCATGCGGTGGCCACCGAGCGACATGGGCAAAACAATTGCGCCCCGGCACTCGCTTCGGCTTCTCCCGACTGACTGAACATTCACCTGCACATGCCCGAGGTCTGGTGCGTGCGGGCTCAGGGAATTCGGCCCCCTCCCCATTACTCTCACCTCTCTAGCCCACGGTCAGATACCAATCCGGTCAGAGATGGCATACCTGAGCCCTTGTCCCCATCCACGGTCCACCCCATCACGGATCCCAGTCTCGTCAAACGAAGCACTTCCTTGACAAGTTTCACGCCCAATCTCGGGTCTCAGCTTGCAGATCGATGGATAATCTGCGCCTCAGGGCCTCCCATTTGCATCAACCGAGCAGCCGCAGCATAACCACCGGAAAGCGAACTGGAAGACAGGCAAGGAGCCAGTCCACAACCGCGCTCGTTTATGGCGTCTCTGCCGACCTTGAAATGTGCCAATGGAACGACAAACTTGAGATAGATCCCGTCCGCCCTGCCATGCCTATATTACGTCCATTATATCAGTCGGCTTAACTATTTGGAAATCTAAGCCCTGCCCGGACGTTTCCCCTGCGGAGATCATGGTTCAGACGGAGTATCTGACGCCATGATCTACTACGGTCCAATCTGATGCACAAGCAACAAGCACAAGGCCACGGGGAGTCGCCCTAGTCACCGGCAATAACCAGCACGCCAAGCTCCCACGGCAACCCTTCCTCCTCCTCCCAAAAAGCACGCAAACCACCACTCAGTACCGTTCTCACCTGTGCCCTCTGCGGAAGCAGGATGATAGCAGGATGATGGTCCCCGACGACGGACAAGCTACAGGCAGTGCACCCGCACTAGCACAGCACAGCACAGCATAATAGAGCCCCGAGCAGCAAATATGAAAGCTGCCACTTCTCGAGCCAGTTACACAAATCACCTCAACCCAAGACAACGGCCCCCTGTCCCTGGAGGTGGACATGGACCCTCGTCGAGACCAGCGGCCAGTCGGGGGCTTTTCTTCCCACCGGCGCGCCCAAACCTACTGTGGGGAAGTCTAAACAACGACGACATCCCTTCCCCTTCAACGCATAATGCCCAGCATCCTTGCGTTGCCGCAAGTGGAAACTCTGATCAGATTCACTAGCTCTCCCACTCTTCTCTTGCACAGTGATCATGCTGGCTCCCGTTGCGAGCCTCCTTCTCTCTGTCCCCATCTTTTCCTCCGATGCTTGCTCGCGGCTTTCGGGCCTTGCCCCTAGCCTAGTCGCCGGTCGTGGTTGTTAGACTTGGGGGCCCTGACCTGACAGACTGCACTTGGGCTCGGTCCAGCCATCCGTTGTCGTCCTCGTCGTCGTCTGCTTCTTTCATGTACCCATCTCAAGCGTATTGGACCTAGTCATGACATTCGAAGCTGCTGCTGCTTCTGTTGTGACCGTCTCTACACCCTCCGCCCGGATTCCTAAACAGCTACCGTCTTCAACCCCTACCGTCCCTTCATGCGTTCTCAGCACAGCCCTACTTCACCTGTGTCCCTGACCCCCCGGGCTCGTCCCCGTCTCTCGCTGACCATTCGTCCTATCTTTTGTTTCTTCTTCTTGTGTCTTTCCTGAACACTGGCCTTGAACTCCCCCTTCACATTTCAACATCAACCGCATCTGTCTGAAGCCTGCCAAAATCTGTCACTATTTAGTTTATGTTGAAGTTGGCGTGTGCCTCATCCATGGCATGATAGTACTTGCGCTCCCGAAACGAAACTTTGACGAACTTCGCCGAGTCTCTCGCCGCTATTGGCAAGTACTCCCTGAGGAGACGATCACCGATTCGCAGTCAACCTTCGGACTGGAATTTTCTCCTCACTCTTCTCGAAGCACAAGATCACGACGTTTGGGAAAAGAGCCTCGCATTCGGAGCATCAGGAATCTAGGAAAACCGCACCAGCGTTCGGCAAGCCACTCTCGCGTGTCTGCACGACGTCTCCTACTTTGACACTGCCACCCGTCAACCCCTTGATCGTACAGCCTTGGGACCTCAGCTACGGTACGAGGAAGTCAGTGTTTCCTCTGCTCTGTTTCTCTCGGTTCGAGGTCGATCCGACATCTGCGAACTGCCAGGGCGTGTTGAAGCTAAGAGGTGTTAAAGTCCTTTCGGATGACCCTTCAAGTACACCACTGGGCGACTTGAAGGTGTTTCGGCTGTTTCAATCCGCTTTTGGAACTGTCAGTGCGACTCTGAAACGGCGATCCCAACGATAGGTCTGATATTCTTATCGTTTGCTTCTTAACTTGTCATCGCCTCCTGTACTACCCCTTCCCCTTCCCTCGTCGCCTGCCCGCCTCCCGGGCGCCACACACAAAAGCTTTGGGATCTCCCATCAACCTTATCGCTTCCCTACGCTTCCTCCCACCACTGCCACCTTACCTACCTGTCCCCCTAGTTGTGCGACCTTCGCAACCTGGGTTTAACAGACGACGAGTATCCGATGTATCGGACTGGATCCTAGAGATCGGACATTATCTTCTTCTCACCAACAACTATCATCATCATCAACAACAACAACAAGAGACAGGTTCTCGACAACTGGATTGAGGATTACAGGTTGGACTATCACGAACTGAATATCACGATACCCGGTGGACGTATAAGAAGGAGCTGTCAGGGACACATATCAAGCCATCGCCCCGAGGGATCGCCAAACTGGATTCGTTTCGGCGACAAAACTTCTCCCACGTTGTTCGCGCTTGAGCGATGGACGTGACATCACTACTGAACGTAGCGGCGGGAAAAAAGCCATTTATTCGGGATAACTCACTCGAAACCACTTCTGTCCCAATCTTCCAAAGACAAAACACCACATCGTCCCCGGAGAAGACAGCTTCTTCAAGGCGGACAAGCGACGCTAGAGCACCGCGGAACCGCACGCCATGGGATGCGGGCGGTTACTCTCTTCATCTAGCTCTTGACAACAAGTTTCCTGCCTCCCACACCAAGCCTACATACTATAGCGAATCCGACGTGGATCAGTCGGCCTCGACGAGTTCTTGCGACGCCCCTTCATCGAACTGCCATTCCAGGGCCAGCTCTCTCAGTTCTCTAGCACACGAGATGGCGCATTCCGCCAACATCACTCCCATGACGAGTACACACCCAGGCCGGTATGTATCTGATGGTCCCGTTCTTGGCGCAACACTGGTGCACTTGTGGATTTGAACGGCCTCGTAGACTGACTCCCTCACGAAGCCTGGCATACCTAGGCGAGCCAGAGTCGCAACTTCATGTTGCGACTAGCCGAAGGTGAGCCAGCTTGGGAGGCTGCCTTTGCTCCTGACATTGTCCACTATCATTCGTATTAGTACTCGGCGGCTAACATTTCCAAGGCCTAGCATTTCCGGTGATTCGGATGCTCAACTAACAGCAAGGTAAGTAACTTATCTCAGCAAAAGGCCATTGTGATTCCACGGCATTCTTCCGTTGGAAATGCAAGAACCTTGATCTAGCAGAAAGGTGCTCTCTCATCTTATCTATGTATTCTAATCTCGATCAGGCCCAACCTCCCCCGCGAAGATGACGGGCACCACGTAACAGGAGGATTTCCCAAATCCCCGAAACATAAGTTCTCCGACAGCCACAGCAGTTTGTCATCGTACACTTCTTCAAATCAATCCGGAGGACACTCGAGGATATCCTCATTATCCACTGTGAGCGGCATTCAGCCGTTCACGTCCCTTTTGAACGATGTGCCGGCTTTTGACCCAAAACTCGATCATCAGCAAGGTATGGGTGGCCCGGGCATGATAGATGTTCAGCCTCCATCCCCGCGAACGATGGGTCAACATGACCCAGTAGCCTTGGATCCCGCAATGAAGGGAACTGGGCGACCAGGTAGTCCGTCAGATGCTATCTTGATCACCAGAGGTATGGGTGGTAGCAACCGATCAAGTCCAACTGATGGTTTGAGGTACGTGACAATGTGCGCTTCGTGATTTTACTCCTTCCCAATCTTGCCCTCGATCTCATCAGTCCTGAGTTTGGAAGAGGTCGCTGGAGAGGAGCAACTTGGGTCAAATCTCCAGATCGCGCTTTCCCTTCACCTGGCTCAACTCAGTTGCACCTCCCCTATCCTGATTTCACTTTGACATCGCCTATTATTTCACTTCACCTACCGTGTCTTCACTTCACCCCCTTCACATGCACCTCACGATAGCCTCAACTTCACGCGAATGAACTTCACTTGAACAGCGATCCCACACGTGACCTGACCGGGTCGCTCCTTCCCTTTCATCTGACTGTGAATCGAACCTGCGGTCTCAAGGAGGCCTCGTGATTCACATCGAATTCCCTTTCACCGCTTTGAGACCGCCTTGATCATCACGATAATCCTCCCTCTCTCTAACCTATTTAAACCACCGTTCGGAGACTCGATCCCTCTTCCCCCTTTCCTCTCCATTCCACAACTCCTCCGTTCTTCTTCCAAGCAAACGATCCATCGTTCCTCCTACGTTCTCCAAATAATTCAGACCGCCCAATATTACTTAACTTCCACTTCGAGCTGGACTCTTTTACTGATCACATCAAGCAACAGCCCTCACTCAAAACAACAGCAGGACAACCTCAATTACCTATCATTACCACAAGATCAATCGTCAAGAACTCACAAAAGGGCTGTTTCTGCGCCCGACTTTGCTGCTATTTCTGCGCCTACCTTCCAACCATTCCCTTCAGTATCAGAAACCGCGCCTTTTCCACCGCAACAGCAACAACCCTACGGTATGTCGCCTCCTGATTCTCCCCCTGCCGTGTCCGGCAGCGACGAGATCAAGTGTATGTACATCGAAAACTGCGACACTGGATCTCAGCCTCGTAAGGCCATCTCGCATATCTTTGGTCGCAACAAGCTCTGCACCCGCATGATTCCCGCCCACGTTTGGGTTCATTTCTGCCGCAAGCACTACCAGCGAAGCCGTTACCGCAATGCCCATGAGTACTCGAAGCTCCAGGTCGATCTTGTTCAGAAGCAAATCGCCAGAGTTCAGCAGTGGAGCGATGAGAACGAGAGAGCTGGCAAGGCAGGCGTGGTGAACAGCTGGTCTCTTGCCATTCGCAAGCGAGAGCAGAAGCGATTGGAGGACAAGAAGGAGTCGAAGAAGCGTGCCTACCAAGATGAGTCCGAGGACGAGCAGCTCGACGGTGCTATGCTCAACGGCACTGCCGTCCCCGAATGGCTCCTCAGCAAGTGCGGTGCTGGATACACCACTGTTGCTATTCAGGAGATTGTCGCTCAGTTGAAGACCGAGATCGACGGTGGCAGCCTGAGCCAGATCCCCGATATCGAGATCCTCCCTACCATCAGCAGCGACGGTCCCGACGAGAAGCCCAAGACCTACCTCAAGCGCAAGACAAGCGGCGGCGCTGCTCACAAGCGTTCCCAGTCGATGGGTGTCGCCTTGAGACCCGAGGCAATGCCTATGGCTAGACGTGTCAGCCAGCCCAATGCCTACTGGGGCCATGACAGTAACCATACCTTCTCACTCGAAAATTGGGTCCAGAATACTGATATATCTCTAGCCGGCTTCTACGAGGATCGCAACGCGATTCCCGGCATGCCTCGAGTTCCGTCTGGCATGCGTCGCATGAACATTCCGCACCGCCCTGCCTTTGGTAACATCCGCGAGAACCACCCTGAGGAGGACTACTACCGCCAGCCCCAGATGGGTTCCGGCCCTTTCATCTTCGGTGCCGGCGGTCCTCAAGGCGGTCCTCTCCCTGCCCCTACTCCCCAGCGTCGCGGCAGCAAGTCCATGGCCTCTCACCTAGAGACCTCCACTACCATGCCTACCTATCCTGACCCTCGCCGGGCATATCACCAGCGATCTCAGAGCGAGATTGGAGGAGGCTTTCACCAGGGACAGGCTCCCACGTACCGACCCAACTCGTCTTCGGGCTTCGCTCCTTACGGATACGCTCCCAACCCGGTTGACCAGCCGCAGCAACAGCAGCCCCAAGACCAGTACGATGGCACCTATCCTCGTCCTCACGACAACCCGTTCGCCCAGGCCGCTCAGCCCAACTACTATGAGGATCCTCAGCGGCAGTACGCTTACGGCGCTTCTCCGTTCCAGACCAATCCTGCCTCTCGCCTTGGTCCCGTTGGCGCCAACAGACACACCCGTCACCAGAGCACTCCGAACGCACCCCGTGCCATGCACCGCGCTCCCTCTGCGCACGGCTTCGCGGTGGCCCCAAACCAGCAGGGCTATGATCGCACTCCCGAGCACTCGCGCCATTCCTCCTACGCCACCCCGCCCATGCAGCCCATGCAGCCTATGCAACCCATGCAACCCATGAATGACGGCACCCGTCACTGATTGGGACAATCCGAGATCGAGACAAGAAACAAGCACTCTTTTGAAACGGCCTTCCTTATACCCGCATTCATGTCACGTCGACACGGCATCAAAATCGGAGTCAACATTGGGGGACGGCAAGCGGTCATTTGGTTTTCCTACACCTCTCTCTTTCTTTAATTATCTCTCTCTCTTTTTCTCCTCTCGTTGCACGGCCAATTCATGCATGAGGAATAGCGGAACACAAAATTCACATTGTACACCACGGACTTTCTTTTATCTCTCTCTCGGTAAGGGTTTGGCCACGTACCTGCCGCCCTGGCAACGATCGAATGATGGATGACTGGACATCGCACGGATCAACGGCACACGCTTGACACAAGCAAACTCGGGGGTCGGTTTTGGGTTTCTTTTTTAGAAAGTCCTAGATGGGCAGGGCAACTTTCACTATTTCCGACTTTTGCTGCTCTGGCAAGGTCGATCCGGAAGCACGACTCGGGTGACATTAGGGAGTGGAACTGGCATTTGTACGAATACAGACGGAGGCTGTCGGCGGTTTTGGGGGTTTCTCTGGCGGACGGACGGATGGGAAGGATTTGGTTTTGAGATTCTTTACGGACCTGAAAACGGCGTTGGCTTTTCCGGTTCTTGACTTTTTTCTTACTCTTCTTTTTTGCCCCCGACGCGTTTCTCTCTTTGCTTCTACCCCGTCTCCTGGCTCTTCTGCAATTTTCCATCATTGGTCAATTTGCAGAATAGTTCTTCCCTCTTCTACTTTCTTTTCTTTTCTTTTCTTTTACCTGACTTTTCTTGATGCTCTTGACAATGGGCCATCCTATCTCACGATTCGGCTCACGTCACAGTAACGAGAGTTGTCATGGGCAAAGATACTAGATCTGAAAGGAAGACCAAAAGATGCTGGGAGATGGAGGAGGAGTGGAATGGACCAGACGCGAACCAAAAAACTTTCCTTGAACGTCGTTTGATAACGCTTCGTCTTGCATGGGCTTTGAACGCTTAGATAGCTCAGCCTAATGAAATACGCAGTTTAAGCTAAGATCTTTCCCATACGCATTGGTGCGTGAGGTGATGTGACCACTGTATTATCGAGGGGTGGCTTTGGGCAAGCCATAATTCTTGGTCCCACGGACGGACAAAGACGGTAACTAGTAAGGTAAGGTATGCATGGTATAAAGTTGGCAACTCGAGCGTCTTTCTACCCTTGCATGGCAACAGTAAAAAGAAATGACGCAGCATACTACGCAGCCTATCGGCCTATCATCGAGACGGAAGAGATTCGAAGTAAAACCTACCTTGGAGGATTCGATCTATACGAGCTCGAATCATACCATCACCACATACAGTGAGTGACTCTGGGGGTTTTCACTTGGCACTTACCAAATGATATGCGTTTTGTTTGGGAGGGTGTAGTTTCGTGTAGGATTAAACGAAATCTTGGACACTGTGCTAGGATAAAGGATATTGGAGGTAAATACCTCTACAAAAGATCTCTCTTCCGATTGTTGGTATGTCTAATGAGCTCATGCAAACCGCACAAATTGCCGGTCCAGCATGTGGTTATCTGCTCTCTTCCAACCTTTCTATAACCGCTAGATATCTTAGAGTAAATCCCCGTCGCTCTCGATATCATAAAGTTATACACCCCGTGAGTTCATCTATACGTCATCTCATTCATAAACTCCAACAACCGCAAGAAGCCGTACAAAACCTTCTACCTCCAGAGTCCAAGGTAGATCTTCCTCTTACTCCCTAAACATAATCGACCCGCCATCCCACTCCGCAAGCCTCCCCACATTCGCCCGCCCCTTGACGACAAACCCGAGCCTCTGATAAAACGGCTCAACCCCGACAAGCCCGATAAGCCACGCCGGCACGCCCTCCTTGTCCACCTGCGCCAGGCCCTCCCGCACGAGCAGCGACCCGAACCCGTTCCCCTGGTCACCGGGCGCCACTGCCAGCGTCGAAAGGTACCACGCCGTCTTGCGCGCCGGGTGTTCCGGGTCTTGCGTTAGCACGTCCGAGGCAATATGCGTGTCGTCAAAGATGGTGAGCATGGCCGGGTCGAGAGACCTCGGAGGCCAGAGGTAATCCGTCAGGGAGTTGATGCCGAGCAGGATGGGCTTCAGCCAGCCGCGGAGGGTGAGGTAGCCCTCGGTCGCGGACTTCTCGGCCGGGGTGGGGTAGGGGCGGCGCCACCAGCTGAACGCGGCGACGCGCTCGCCGGAGGCTGAGTCCGGGTCCGGAACGGTGAGGACGTGAAAGAGCTGCTGCTCGGGACCCCAGTAGCGCGCATAGAAATAGCGGTGGGCGGCGGCGCGCCAGTCCTCGGGGAACTCGCGGCGTCGGGGGTGCATCTTGTCGACGGCCCAGTCGTTCCCGAAGGCGGCCATGTAGACGTCTACGATGGCCGCCGTGTCGGCGGAGGTTCCTGGGCGGATACGAAATTGTGGCTGAGACATTGTTCAGGGTTTTCCAAGGATTGTTGAGGGCTTGTGAGTTTGTTAGTCCAAGGTTCAACGAGATCATGGGGAAGTAGTCACGTAGTGTCTAGAGGATGGTTTGAAGGTCCGGTGGGAGGCCGAAGCCGAAGCCGCTTCGGATAAAAGTGGGAATGGGACTTACAGATGGTGCGAAATGATCTATCAATTGGCCAATGGGGGCCGGCTTCGATGACACAATCTAGTAGCTAGATGGGATGACGGGTAAGAGTGAGAAATTTCCTGTGCCCTGTTCTGTTGGTACAGGTCGTCTGAAAGTAGAATGAGTCAGGATCAGGTCCTGCAGACAACTTCACGGAAAGTGTCTCGATTTGAAGGTCTTCGGTATGTCATCGCAAGGGCGAGAGAAGTTGGTTCCTTGGCTTGTTGGCACTAACAAAACCGAATGACTCAACCGGGGAGCACGCAACGCGGGGAAATTGCTCCAAAAGTTCCTGCATCTACAGGGGAATAGCCTTGGAGCATTGAATGTTTGATCCCAGTCATGGTCTTTCGGAGCTGGTCCGGCGTAACGCGCCGGCTCGACTGGCAACATCCAGATGCGGAGACCGGTCGGCCGAGAACACGGCCGAAGCAGACTACACGTTCGTCGGGTGAATTTCCACCTTACACGGTGTCGCCCCGGGCCGAGGACCGCGGAGGTCATCGGCCACAAGCTCCACTTGTCCTTCAGAGCACACCAACTTGTCATGTGCTGGGCGCCATTTTTAGTACTTTGGCCCCCGAAAAGCTGCACGTCGCTGAAGAGGTTGGGGGCAGGATTCGGATCCCTGGTGAGAGGCTCATGTTGCGTCGACGTGGAAGCGGTGCAGCTTGGGAGTCTGCGGCCGCGAAGCTGACCGACCCTAACCGTGCAGAACCCACGCGGAACAAGCCGTGGATCCCGCCCTATGGTGCCTACGATGAGAGGGGGGCGGAGGGGGAGGAGACGGGACGGTTGGAGAGAAGATGCCCGACTCCGTCACGGCCGGCTCCCAGAGCTCTGGATTCAACCGTTTTGTTATCTATATGCGTATTCCGTTCCCGTAATTCGTAAGGCGGGCTGGAATTCGTCCGCGTGACCAATTGTCGACATCAAGAGAGATCTGGCCACAACAAAGGGAGGTAACGGTGAAAGGTCGACCATGGGCACGCAAGTTCCGAGAGAATAGGTACGGGAAATGCTGTGTAACGTCGAATGAGGAGCCGTCACTGGCTTGAATGGCCACTCCGGCCAGGGGGCGTCGAAATGAAGCAAGGCATGGGCACCTATTCCGCAGGTGCCGTGTTCCATCATGTCAGCCCTACGTGAGGGGACTGCAGTGAAGACAACATGGGGGTTGCTGACGACTCGAGGCGATGCGGCACGTCATTGCTCAACTCTTCCGGACCGGATTCGGAGGTTGAGGATAGTCGCGGTCGCGCATGCGGTATGTTGAGATGATTCTAGCATGTTTCGATTGGTTCTGGAAGATTGCGAGGTGTTCGTTTGGTCAGACTGCATGGAACTATTTCATCTATTTTCAATGTTGGCCTGTCTCACACCGAGACATGGGACACAAAAGATGTCGATAGTAAGTGGCTGCAATCAGTGGTAAATGTTGGTGGTGTTCCTTGTTGGTTGACGGAGGTTATGTCCGTTGCGGTGATGCGAGATAGTGACACTAGAACGCATGCAGAAAAGGTGGATTATGTAAGAGGTCGATATCGAGGGCCCAAGCGCAGCTCAGCAAGTGACACCTGGGATGATTGGGGCAATTGGGGCAATTGGGGCACACATGTGGACGGGACGTGTGGATACCTTATGGCAGGCAATAATGGGCAGTGATCACTCATCGGGAGGAAGGAGGAGACAAAACTCGGGAAGGAATCACGACAGGTGCCGAGAAAGAATACGTACCGTAATACCTTGTAGCTTATCTTTCCCATCTTGTCAAGTTCCCTTCCCTTCCCTTGTCAATTGGAAGGACTCAAGCATCTGGAATCTGGAATCTGCCGCTGCTGGCTCCAAGTCTCGAACCCGAGCTTTCGGTATGTACCTTTGGTGAAGTACGGTAAGATATGCAGAGCATGTTTTGTTCCCTTGGCTAGAACATTGTGTCTTTGATTGCGAGTGTCAGTCAGAAACTGGCCCTCGCGGCGTCGCCTGGCCAAGATTGAACAGCGTTAGACATCATCATCCGACGTAGCCGCCACAAGAATAGACTGCTGGGCTGGAAGAAAGGAAACGGAAACAAGCCGGCACTGGTTGATCGCAACCGTCTCCAATACTTTCCTGAGGGCTTGACCTGTCGGGAGTCGTCATTGTGTACTGAGCAAAGAGCGAGGCTGCCAAGCTGTCCCTCGTTCGCCGTTCTCGTGTTACACATGTGCATTCATGGGTTGAACAAAGAGACGAGTGACATGGGCGGCAACAACGTAAGGTAACAACATAGACAGCATTGAACATTGAACATGGTTTTGAAGATGTGTGCCCATCTTCAGTGGCTGTCGAGTGGTAGGCGGGGCCGGGATTAAGACTGTATCGAGGAAGGATCCGCTTGGGTTGACTTGTTCCCCCCATTGCCCCCCTCCATTTGAGTCCCTTCTTGGCTACAAGAGGCCACTCGCGGAGAGTCTGGACCTGTGGAGCATGCGGCACTAGTAGGGAGCATCGCAGTTGAGAGAACGGCTAGCAATTCAACACTAGTGTTTTCCCGTACGGGTACGCAATGGAAGTACTCCGTACACTTCCCGTCCTTTGCGGTAGGTATCCGTAGCTTGTGGTTGCTCCTACCTCACCTTAATAATCCTCAGCCCAGCTCCAATCCAACAAATCCAAACATCCCCAAGACCTCGTCTGTCTAAGGTGGGCTTGCCTTTGCCGTTGCATTTGTTACCGCTGCCGTCGCTCGCTGTTGCCGCTGCCGGTCCTGCATGCATTGATCGGCTGTGCTCAATCACCTCGCGGATAGTCCACTTCACTGCTGTGTTGTCCCTGCCGATAACTTTCCGCAGAATCGAATTCGTGGTGGGACACATCCAAATTCGTTTTTCCTTTGACCCCCAGGCTCGCACCAACGAAACTCTGCTTCCACCATCTCTTGCGTCAATTTATCTCTTTGTGCCGTTTTGCCTTTTGGCGGCACCCGCGCTTCTCTGGCTGAAGCTGCGCTGCTTGTTTGGAAACACGAATCCGTGAGGTAGCAACTACCAATACGCACGACAAATAATATGGCGAGACAGGTCCAACGTCTTGCCGTGACGCCGCCGTCCGAGGATTCTGACAACGTCAACTCGAGCTCGCGTTACACAAATCGTTTGTCGTCGTCTTCAAGTCACCAGTCTGCCGCAGACGCCCCGCCCCGCGCCCACCGCGCTTGCGAAAAATGCACACGAACCAAGAAGAAGTGCGACAAAGGTCTGCCCGCTTGCTCGAGATGCACCAGGTGAGTCTTCCCCCCTCCCCGACAAAAGAGAGGTAGCCCCTGCCAAAATTTCCTACGCCGGGGTATTCTGACTAACTTTTCAGACTCACCACCAACTGCTGCTACGATTTTGTCGTCAACCCGCCATCTCTCACCATTGTTGATTCGCAGGGCGCCGCTGGCAATGCTTCTTCTTCCAGCGGCGACGCGCGGCCTGCCTTTGACTGGCTCAATCAGGTCGATTTCACTGCTAGTCAGATAATGCAGCTTCTGAACGGGAACGGCATCGACTGGAAAGCTTCCATCAACACCTATTTCAACACCGTCAACACCTGGCTCCTCGTGATCCACCCCGAGGTCTGGCAGACACGTTGTGCAGCGGCTCAGCTCGATACCAATCCCAACGATTCTGATTTGGCGTTGGTTGTCTTGTGCATCCATCTGTTAACAATCTGGAACTGTGACGAATTCTCGTCCACCGCTATGCTTCATCATCCGCTCTACCAGTCAGCCAAACGTATATGGACATTGAGGAAAGCCTTTTCGAAACCTAAGATAGAGCACGTTCAGTGTGGTGTTCTGTTATCACTGTACGAGTTGGGGCATGGCGATATCACTCGCTGCTATCGCACTTTCGGCGAGGCGGCCTCTATCGGCAAGGTGTTGAATCTCAGACCGGGGAAATACGTCGAAGGAGAAGAGGACCTGGCTGCCGAGCCTGAAGAAGAGCAAAATCGTGCTCTATGGTGGGTTCTTGTGATTATGGACAAGTAAGTGATTTTCGGTGTCATTCATCTAGTTTATTTGCTTACTTAACTAGGATCTCCCACGAGCAGTCCGCAACACTTTGGACACCGCTTCAGATGGACATGCCCTCTGACGACGACCTTCTCCCGACGGAGCACATTCTGTGGGACAATGACCGAAACGGGCCTATCAAGCTGATCAAGCGGTACCCTACTACGATTCCGGCATCAGTGCGTGTCGGCGCTTTTCAGAGGTCATGCCAGGCCGCCATTCTTCTCGGCTACGCAGTCAATTGGGAAGCGGCAAACGCTGAAATCGAAGAACCTCCGACTGTCTACTCGTTTGTTCAGCTTGAGTCCGCCACGAGAGACCTGATTGAGGCTCTTATCACCCGGTCCGAGACTTGGAGTGAGAACCTCAACACTTATGCTCTATGTGCTAGGTGCGTTACTAATGGCCGACGGCGTTGAGAGTATGCTAACACTGCCCCAGCTTGTTCTGCCTCCTTTTCTACTCTTTTCTGTATACTGCCAATAGACCAGGGATGCCTGCCCGGGATCCAGAGACAGATATGGAAATGAAGAAAGCAGTTGCCGGTATCAAATTCACGATTGGTCTCGTAATTGATGGCTCGAACGGCATCTTCAACGCCTATTCCAACCGCGATGACGTCCTGGAACACTGCGCTGCGGTCTGGCCATACGCTCTCTTTCATACGATGCAACTTCTGTTCCACTACGACTCTCTCATAGAAGGCGCAGACTCCCTCATGGCGGAGGTCAGACAGAACGTTGAGAGTACAGCTAAGAGATGGGCCTGTTCTCGTATGATCTCTGACGGTGCGAAGGCAGAACGATTTGCTAACTACTTGTCTCAGGATGGCTTTTGGAAGAGTTTGACCGGGTCCATGAAGCGAGAAGCACCGGCGTCAAAATGTGCAAAAAGTGAGTAATCCGCAAAAATTTCGAGCATGGTCGGAGCTTTGAGGACTGACTTATCTAGATGTACCCTCGGAAATATGACTTGCGGGCACTATTCGGCTCCCGAATGAGTTGAAGCTCGGCCCCTCAGAAGACAACTAGATCCGACTCCGCCCGAATAGAGTCTCCGGCAGTGGAGACGACACATCGTACTGCTCCGAGATGTCGCCGGCATCTTTCACCATTCGTGTATGTATGTTGAAACGTCGGATTATACATCCAGGTCTGGCGGCGGCGACGGCAGCCCGGTCAGTGTGACCGTGAGCTCTCTGTAAAGAATTGAAGTTTGGACTGAGGAAGATCCGCAGCCGTCGCTAGCCACCGGGCGATCTGTGTTGATCACGCGCACCATCGCATGACAACACTTCGTCATCCTCCATGCGACCGGTCCAGAGCTCACGGATGAGGCTTGCGATGAACCCTATTCTTGTTCCAGTCTGCAGCAAGTATTTGCGAGACTCGAGTCTCAAATTGCTGCTTTGCATCAAACACCGGCAAAAGCTGCAGCAGCGTTGACTGCATAGCGGGGAAAGGGGAGCCGCCTGTGCGCTGAGGAATGGCCGACGAGTTTCGCAAGGCTGTGACTGCATTGTTTGGGAAATCAATACAAGGAGAACTCCCTAGCCGTTGGAGGCACAACGCTGAGCGAATTCCTGCAACAGACAGCCTCATTCTTGTACGAATGTCCGGAGGGTTGAGGGCGGTACGCTCAACTGTCAAGGATTACGGACTGTTTGCAGTTGTGTTGTGGCACCTCAATCACCAACTCGCTGGGGTTCACCAAAAGCCATTCTGCTAGTCAACCGTTGGACCATTTTCAGAGGCACTCAGACTTGGAGGGTAAAAAACAAAGGACTTTGCAGGTGTCGAATGGCACAAGCTGGAGCCGGCATGCTCTTCAAGCACTTGCTCGTAATCGAGCTAGACTCTGCGCTCCGGATCTGGACGGGTTTCCGTAAGCCCAACTCTCCACGACGAAGCAGAGAAGCTCAGTTTGGAGTCGCTGCATTTCATTGTTGCGCCAGATAAACCGTCGCATAGCTTTTTATCTCACGACAATTGCCTAGGCCGCCTGGACGGGACAATGAAGCAACCCCTCTTTGCGTCACAAAAAAAAAAAAAAAAAAAAAACCGGCCTATGCTGTTATACGACGAAGCGTGCCAACCCAGAGACTCTATGGCTACACGCAACTCTCTCTTCGTGTCACTTATTGGCCACATAGTTTTTGCGTTGAGAGAGAAGGCAAAAGCGAAAGGCAAAAGCGAAGGCAAACCCCGCAATTTCTTTGCACGTCCCTTTTCTGCGCTTTTGCGACATTCGGGTCAACTTGCCCGTCGAAATGGACGGTACTCCGTAGTTGAGATGAGAAGTTGGCTGGGTGGAATTTTCGACATGTTACCCGTCTATGCGGCGGCGGGTTCTCCAGTCTGGGAGACTTGTTGTCCCAGCAGTCCTCAGCCGAGTGCAACGCGCAGGGTCACTCACCTCCTGTGTTACTCTGCCTAAGCTCTTATCCCCCCCCCCCCCCGTTTGTCTCAGACATTTCGCATTCACACTCGCAGTGGGGCCAACGAGCAAAGGCATGCTCTTGGCCCTTTGGCTTGTCTATGTTCAGTTTATTTCTGGAATTGACTAGATTGGGCCGGAACCAGCCAAGAGGCACATGTTAACTGACCGCCACCTTGACGCCACCACTACTCGGGGGAAAGTGAAACAACAGAGATCTTTGCGGGATACTACACATCGCTCTTTATCATGGACTAGAGAGTGAAGGAGAAAAGATGGCATTCATCTGAATCATGAGAAAATTCCATCCCTGCAATATCAATATCGGTCGGGCACGGCACTATGGGTCCCGGTCATTTCTCACCGGAATTTGGACAATGGCCAAATCGTCGAGAGGCGCCGAGTTGAGGTGAAGCGTTTTTGCCCAATTCTAATAGGTATTGATGTGGTTATGGTATCTGGGGGCGCAAAAACACACAGGCAGGCAGTGCAGTGATGCGGCCGGTATTCTGGTTTTAAGAAAAAAACAAACGCTGCTGGGAATTTTCCTCCAGGTTGTCAAAATTCCTCACCTCGCTTCAGAGACATAAAAACAAGTCCCACAAATTTCAAGTTACCCCTCCACTATTCTCCCAGTCGCCGATGCAATTAATCAATGGACAAAGAAAAGGATTCAAACATGGGTCATGACAACCCAGCCCAGCTAAATAAAACAGTAAGAAAAACTAGGGGGACGCTATGCCGCATTCCCCACAACGAGGATGAGCAGCATACCATTGAGCATGCAGGCTGTGAAAAAGCTGCTATACACGGCCACACGTTGCCAGATGCCCAAGTCGTCGTGCCGATAAAGCGACATGCCCAAGGCGAGGCAGGCGCTGAAGAGACTGGCCACGACGCCAACTGTCACGCCAGCGTCGACCTCTGCGCGGAGCTTGTGGCGACCCGTTGAGATGAGGATACCAGCCACAAGTAGTAGTAGAAAAGATACGCCGAAACAGCCAATGGTCGCCCAGAACAAAACGCGCTCGCGGTACCGCCGCACTTGCTGCTCATTGATGCTGGGTAGCGTGGCATAATGTGTGGCGTACCCGTTCGTAGGCATGCCGTCAGAGCTCGCGTACTCGTCGTCAGTATCCGTTCCAAGTGGTGAAATGCCGCCGTAGCTCTGAAGGAAGGGCTCGCTGCCCAATAGTCGCTGCCCTTCAGGATTCTGCCGCCGTGAAAACCATGTCTTGGCGTGACGGAAGGGCGCGGCAAGAATTGCGCGCATCGAGTCCAGGCCGGGAAAGCTCATGTCTGCGTCGGGGTTGATATAGATGGCGTATTCCTCCTCCTGGCCACCATTCTCACTGCCATCGTCATACTCGTTCCAATAGTGCTGTTGCTGTTGCTGCTGGATGGGCCTCCGAGGCATTCGCTCTGCAGGTGGCAAAGGCGTGAAGAAACTCTCTGCGGTAGACCCTCGCCTCGTGGGTGTCTGTTCGTCAGAGGACGGCGAGCTGGGCTCGCTCAATTGAGGCGTGGAGGTGCGGAGAGTATTAAGCAACTCCTCGTAACGGGTCTGGAGGTTATCCAGGTCGCGACGGGTAAAGCTCTTAGGGTTAGCAAGGACGTTTTCGCGAAAGCGTGCGCCGAGTGTAGAAGATCCTGTCCATTTCTTGATGAAGCAGATCAGCAACGGCACAATTGCGAATCATATAGTGTGCATCACCCACCTTGTATTTCTTCGTAATCTTCCGGAAAGCTGTAATTTGGGCGTTGATAAAACGAGCGAGCGCAAGTGTTTCTTCTCCGCAACGAAGCAGATCCCTTTCGTACTTGGCGAACCGGCGGTGCCGCTTAATAGAAATACGGTCGCCCTCCTCGGCACACTTAACAATCAACTTTTGAAGCTGATCGGCAATGTATTCTGGATCTTGCGTTAGCCAATTGGGTCCCGTACCCAACAGACTCTTCGATTCATCATGGACTTACGCAGTCGACGCGAAAGCTCGTCCGCCTTGCTGGAAACAAAAAGGTCAACCCGGTCGTGCTGTTGGCAAAGCTCGTGGTAGAGATTATCCTCGAATCGCTTGAGAGCAGCATCTTGATGACCGGGGATGGCGATTGCGGTCGCCTGATCGCGGCTCGTATGAACCTTGATCTCGTGCTTGAGTGAGTTGTAGTCGACGTTATCTGTTGGCGAAAGTTACCGGTCAGCTGGAGTTGCCTTCACGTGCCAATTGGGTCCTGCATGAAGGGAATGGAACGGGGCAACCCACGTAAACTCCATTCTGGAACAGATTCCTGCTCGAGCTGTTCGCCGTATTTCATATCCTTGAAGTCTCCTGCGAAGGGATCGTCACCAAATGCGTGAAGAGGAGATCGGGAGAGTGCGGTGCGCTCGGTTGGTGTAGGGAAGCGACGGCGCGGATTCTCGTATTTAGTCGATTTCCAGCTTGGGACTGGGACCTTGGGTGTGGTGGCAGAGATAAGAGCCCAGTTGGGCGGGTTGGGATGACGCAATGACAGCTACTCGGTCAGTCAATTCGTCCAGGTGCACGGGAATGGACCAGCGTCGACAGATATGTTCAGCGAGTTATCGGATGTATGTGCAGGGCAGAAGATTTTTTGGTCGGTTCCTGAAAAGATGAAGACAAGAAAAGGCTAGACAACGGAAGAAGGCGGTTGAAGAATTGCGGAAGTACTTGGGCTACGATGAGTTGTCTGGGCAAAGACGGACCAAAGTCTAAATACATGGAGATTGGGAAGACACTGGCCAGAACCGGGGCGCTTGCCTTGATAAAAAAGGGCGACAGGGATGCGATGAGATGGAGAGGCTTGAGAGGGGAGGGGAGTGCCAGAACGGTGGTGGAGGAAGAGATGGGGGAGCACTGGGAAGATGGGGGGCGCGAGAGGCAGTGAAGGGTCTGGTTGCATGGATCTTTCAGGCCAATTCCTTGTTCACTTGCCGGGGTGGCTTGCGATAGGTGCGATACGGCATCGGCGTTTGGGCGTGTGGGAAGTCGACTGGACCTCAGTGGTCTAGAGGTTGCGGCCCACGAGGGCAGGTAGATCTGGTATCTAGGCTGGCAACGATACCTTCCCTGGCTTGGGAACAGAATCAGGAACAGGAACAGGGACGGGAACAGGTACGGATACATCCCACGCGAGGAAGATAGGTAGGTATGTAGCCAATGAAAGTAGGTATCCGTACATGAATACAGAGATTCCACGGTACACGTCGCCCAAGGCAGGAGGGAAGTGCTGTGCAGCGTATCGGGTCAATTGCAGGCTTTTCTCGCCAGTCCAGGCCCAATCTTGACTGCACTCGGCCTCATTCACGCATCCGAGTGGATGGATTGCACATGCATGGGTGGAAAGGCGTGGTGTATGTATACACACCAAGGATGGACCCTTTCTACGTTTGGTTGGATACGTTGATGAATATGTTGCCCAGGATTCTGGGTTGGGAAGGAACCTAACATACCTCACAGATAATGGCTGCTGCACTGCTACTGGTAGATAGGTACCGGTATTGTTAACGTACCTTACCTACGTCAAGGTATGTATCAAGAAAGGTCGGCGCGGAATGGGAAGGTTCTTTTCCGCAACATCAGAATTCGATAGTACTGTGTCTTTCTTCTTCAGTTGTCTTCCATGTTACCCATTCTCTTTTCCCACTCCCTATCTTTGCGCCGACACCGGGCTATGGCTGGCCGCATGCCGGCAGAGAGAATACTCACCTAGGCTCGCTCCGAGACGCGATGCCTTGGACGCTTGCCATGTCACGTCTTGGCTCGTGGCAGCAGAATCAATTGGTGCTGCAGCCCCTCGTCTCTATGACGCCGCAAAGTGCCACACGGGGGAACAATCTGCAGAGAGAGGATCAGTACACAGTACTTCTGCCAAAGCACCCATGGCACGTTAAGCTCCTTACATAAGGCAAGCTAGCACCAGCATGATGATAATGACGGGCCTCAAATGTAGTTGTGGGCATCGTGACTCCTTGCTCCCCAGGTCTCCGCTCGCAAGGCCATCGTTAGCACATTGGCACAGTCACCGGCTGCAGGAAGGAGGGGACTCGGAGCAATTGGATAAGCTACCATCGTTGCTTCCTTCAGGGTCCCGTCCCCTCCTTCAGGTCGCAGGCTCGTAGGCGTGACGACGATTGAGAAACGACAATTGATCGATGCCGCAGCCAACGTGACTCTGCATGGCCAAGTCCAACAACGGCCAAAATAATGTGGATTGCGCATGTATTGGCAAAGATGGTGAGAGGTTCGATTTGGCACGGAGTACGGATATGGCGGTGTATAATTACCCTTGAGGTTGCCGTTGCAATTGCGACAATGGCATCAATCATGGCGAGCCGCGACTCGAGGTTGGGGGCTTGAGCCATGAGGTTGAGACGGACGTCTGCGCCTGGAGGTGACTTCAGATGTCTGCCAAGTCTTGTCTCCCTCCTTCCCTCCACCCAATGATGCTCCTGCAGCACCAAATGCTGTTTCGCTGCCGTTTCTGTATGAGGTGCAGCTGGAGGGCAGGCATGCCGCATCTCGGACCCACCTTGCCCATTCTCTCCTTCCTCCACTGCGTGAGGTGCTGTGTTCCTTTCCTTCCCCTCCTTGTCGAGTCGCAAGTGGTTGGCAACAAGCAAGTCGAAGTTCAGGTTGTCAGGGGATGTGCGGTACGGACTAAGGTACGGAGACCTACCCCTGGCCCTGCCGCACTACCTTACGGTCCTGCCTGCCCAGGTGGACTTACCTGCCCTTGCTCCCGAATCCCCGTTGCTGCACCTGCCGCCTGCGATACGGGGTGGGAAGCCTCTCCCACTCATCTTAGGCAATTCCTGCTTTTCTCGGCCATTCCTGCCTTCTACGGTCTTCTCTCCAACTCCATGCACTTTTGAACCGAAGTGGCCGTGGACCAACTCTAGTTGTCTCCATCTCCAACACCAGTTCGCTTTTTGGCTGTAAGTATCCATACGACTATATCGTACATCGTACCAAAACTTCAATAAAGTAACGCCGCGATATCGCATTAGCGCCAACTCCTTCAGATTTTTTCATCAAGGTCTCAACCACTGACTCTACTCTTCCATGTCGACCAAAACCTTGAAAGTGGACGGCCGGTGGAAACCCAAAAAGAAATCTCTGCCTCTTTGCATCTGATTTTGCTCTAGCGCAACCAGGGATTGCCTCGACTACAGCATGACTACTCTCGGATCGTGATAGTCTGCGTTGTCTGCCTTCTTCGGCCCAATCAGCCCTGCCTAATTGTACCCGGCAAAACGCAGCACCAGAGCCGGCGGCGCCACGTCCCGCCCGTACTCGGAACGCTGTCGGAGCCCGCTCTTCTCTTGAGCCTTTGGAACCCGGCCGTGTTTGACAAAAGACATTTACTAAAAGTCAGAGTCTTGACTGGGACCGACCGCTTCGGAGAAGGGGACGGTTGTTTGCAACTTGCAACTGCCCGTCTGTCTCATCTCGTCAACCAAACGATTGAGTTCCGCCCGCTCAGCGCGCGTCCGGGCTCCTCGGTGCTTTCGCCATTGCAACTGCAACTTTGCACATTCGCTTGCACGCAGCGCACACCGCAACCCAGCATTGCGACATGACTGACTTTGTGCTTTTAAAAGCACTCTGCTCAATGATTGGTCTTGTTCGCTGCTATCATCCACGCTGCAGGGAAGCATCGTTGCTCGGCACAGATAACATGCCAGTCGGGGTTCCCCTCCAATTCCCCCCTCATCCGTAAGCGGACGAACCTAGCTTAGATGATGAGCACATGCTCACTTGCTTCATTTGACAGCTGGCCGTCTCACTATCGCGACAAGATAGACTTCGTGTCACCGCTCTGCACTTTTGCTCCTCTTCTACTGGCTCGGTCTCGGCTAGGCCTCCATGTCGATAACCACTGGCCACGCAACACGCCGTGCTAAGCCATACCAACGAGCGCAGATCGAGATTGATTCTAGTTCACGTACGACGAGTGGCTACGTTTTCAACATATCCTCTTCCATTGCCGTTAGGTCTGTAGACTTCTCCATGTCGTTCGATGTATTCTTGTTTACGCCAATGGCACGGTCCCAAATTATGATACCGGCTGGAGCCATAATGTTCGGAAAGACACTGGAACTCGTATGTGAGCCTTGAAATGGTGGGGCCTCCTGTAGGTATTACCTTCAGAGGCAGCCCAAATCTCTGAGTCTGTGCCACAATATCACACGCCGCGTTATTCTGGATGTCTCACGCGCGCCACATCGCAAAATTTCATCGCCTGCAGCCAGTTTCAGCATCCTCTGACGACTTCGTGCCACACCTTCCTCTCCGTTGGTGTGCCGCCTCTTCTTCGGGCCGTCCGCCACAATGCAAAAGCCGGGCAAACTAAAGAAAAAATAGAGGCTTATGATGCGGGCCTCACTTTGGTCCAATCAATATGCGCCATCAACTACAAGGCCAAAGCCTGTAAGTTGTTGATCTACCTCAGTCTGAATGCTGAGTAAGATTCCACCAATTTTCTCATGAGATTGACCAGACAGTTCTGAACCTCAGTAACCACTAATGAAGACTCCAGGAATCACATCTCAACTTTTTTCAAATTTCTGCCAGTAACAGTCCCTCCCTCTCTCCACCGGAAATGCACTGCAATGGAGTAGAAAGCAGCCAGACGCAATGCCGCCTTGACCACCTTGCTCTTCCGTCCAGGGTCCCGTTCCGCGGCTCATGGCCCGCCGCGAGCCGCCTCTGAACTCTCCACCCAAAATGTTGGAGTGGATCGACAAATGCCTGCTCTCGTATATCCCACGTGCTCGACTGATGAGATCTATTGGCCTCCTCGGTCATTGACCCCTCGCATTCCCCAACGCAAAGGTCCCGTCAGTATGCATCACTTGGCATGGCGGATTGGATTTTGACGTTTTGGCAAAACCGTCACGGCCTGCTGCCGATAGGCTACTTTTCTTCCTGCTGTAGACAAGCAAGCTGCCAAGCTGCAACTCGATGCAGTCCCTTCCAGTTGACCTCATGCAAGCAAAGGCTTAGGAAGTCGTGGATAGGGGCAGAAACATACTTCAGAACAGTTCCTGAGTGTCTTTACACACATGCTGCATTCTACTGCGTACGGTGAATGCATTGACTCTTTACTGAGACCCGGTGAAGGATTCGAATGCGGATTGGAGCGGCAACAGAACGGCATATCTCGCCATTTGCCCCTCTTGATCGCCTACGGATGGGCACTTTTCCAGGATCTGATAAACTGCCCCATCATCGGCTGCGAGAGGCCGGCTAGACCGTGCTCGCCACGAAACCTCAGCCATGCAACGTTGTTAGAAGCGTTGGGGGGGCCGCACGTCCGACAGCATCGATATCAAGAGGGTGAGGGTTCGATCCAATTAACAACGGCCCCCAAATCTCGACTATGTGGGCTTTGGACCATGCAAAGAGGATTTTTTCGTGCATTTGAGAACGGTCCCGGCCATGTAATAAGTTGCAGATGCGCCAAATCATTAGCCCTGTAGCAGGTAGCATCGCAGCCTTTACTACAGATACGCCGAGTTCCAGCGGGTATGTAAATGCGGTTGGAGGGGTCGTCTCGTCGGCCATCGAGTCCCACTCCCGGAGGCAATTCGAAAGCAGTCACGCGAGTCTATGCCACATTCGTCACCGAAGGCCATCTGCAAGAAAAGCTATCCTCCAGGACGACAGGCATCCTGCTCCAATAATGGAAGCCCAGAGGGGCAACGGCCTCTTCATATGGCATGTGCTCGCGTGCCTGGCCATCGTTGTTGGTCGTACAGCAAGTGGAATAGGCCCATTTGCAGACTGCGCGGAATTTTTTTTGCAGGGGAGAAAGTTTTCAGGCTGCATTCCTCCTTCCGAAGCGGGTTTACGGATGTCTGGATGTTGGATATTGATGCCTTCCGATAATGCCCCGCCGAGCCGCATGTCTTCACAACCTATCCGTATGCGCGTCTTGTTTCCGGATCCCCGCGCCCAACCCATACGAAATTTGTACGAGAAAGACGATGTTCTTTTTCTGTTTTTGCAGGATCCCATGCCATGGGGTTGACTTTCTATAGAAGTAGGAGTCAGGGGCTTTTGGGTAGAGAGCCTGCGACCATTTTTCGAGGCTTCAAGCTATGCCCGACTCAACAAAGACTGTCCATCTTATCATGCATTTCGTGTGTTGATTGAATCTCCGTCATACTATGCATTGTCGTGACGTCGTCTCGGTCTTGTTATCATACAAAGTCTTCTTGACCCTTTGCTGTCCCGTAGGACAGTCAGACTGAGCATCTAGATCTACTTCCAGTGTCCAGCTTGTGTTCCCCATCCTGAGCCCAAACATAGCTTCTTAACGACAGAAGCCGCCCGTTCACGCTGACCCATCCTTCCTTTAGACTCAGATATCCACGCCATGGATATTGACAGTCTAAACATTGATCAGCATCTTCCGGAATAGAATCGACTCCAGGTCAGTTGAACCATCAGGGCTCAGATTCTCAGGGTCACTCTGAGAATCCTCAATCTCTGCCTCAATCCTTGCCCCAATCCCACTTACATAGAGAATTTTTGCGATTCTGTAATGAACCCTGAAGAACTCTGGCTTGGGGAGCGGGATACTGTTGTCTGAGGAGACCAAGGTCATAACTTTGCGATGGCCTTCCGGGGGTTGGTGGCTGACGGGCCATCCTGACATCTGATGGATTTCGTACTTGTTGGGCTAGCCAAATCCATTAGAAAAAGAACGAAACATGTACGAAGTGTGGTGTTCGTAAAGATGACTTACCCGGCCAGGAATAGGGTCAAATGCTAGCCAGTGGCTGTCGTAGTGGAGGTGAACCGTGATCTCGAAGGTGATGAGATTCTCGTGTTGGTTCAGAGTATCAGGACCGATTTTGCCCTCCAACTCAGGGAAGTAGCGGTACAATGCATGCCAGACTCTGGCCACCGCATCTCTGGCAACTGGACTGGCGTTGTCAAACATTCTAAGTGCCAACGGCAAGATGTGGCAGAGTTGAGTATGAGAGGTAAGGGCGCCAACTGGCGGCACAACACGGCCTCCTCGTGCATTCGTGATATCGTACAAATGGCTGAATGCGCAGCGGTACCCATCGCGCTTCAGGCAGATCGATTTGAGAGTTGACTGTTGGTTTCTATCAGACGGCTGCACGCTGGCCGCGAGTTGCGCAATGGAAGCGGCAGCGGCGGGATTGGGCGACGCCTCTGAGGACGTGGCAGATCTGACGATACCAGCAAGCTTCACTATTAAAGGTCAGAATCTATTAGCATATGATTGAGACTTTGAGAGCTGAGGTAGCAACGCTGCACTCATCGCAATCAATTCAACCCGGCGCTTCAAGTTAACTTGGCAGATGGCAATATTTTGATCGTTGGTTAATGCGGTTGTAGTAGTTACCGAACTGAAGCAATCTCGCTTGAGTTGCCAAGTTGATGAACGAAGTTGCCTTGAGTGGCAACGTTGGAGGATGGAACTAAGAATGACTTACTGGGCTTCAGAATAGTGTTGACGAGGTAGCGCGAAAATGATTTCAGCTGGACCTGATCTCTGCCAATCGTCTTGATGTCACTCATCAGCGCGGTTGCCCCTTGATGTGAGAGCATTTGTCGAAAAGTGACGAGGATATTATGGGTTGGGTCGGGTAGTTCGGTCGGGGTGTAGTAGTCGAGCATCTTGTCGGAGACTTCCCAAAGGTCATGGTAAGCATCTAAATCTGTCAGGGCCGATGAGACCTCAGACTGGCTGTCGTCCAGCTGTTGCTGGCTTAGAGGATGAGCGACAACGCTGCTTAGCACAGTCGGCAAAGTCAGGCCGGACTGAGATGCCATGTTCGCGTGAGGTAGGTATCAAGAGTAGTCCAAGTTGAAGAGTAGCACTGTCTGCATCCTGTCAGCTCAGTAAATGAATCTCAAGTGCTCAATGATTCAATGTAGATGAAGATACTTACCGCGAGTGAAATACGCAATGGCGAGGGAGATGCGCAATGGCGAGTGTGAGAGAAAAATTGAAGGTGGGTTTTTATAAAAACAAATCCAGGTCTCGGCTTGGGAAAAGGTAGAAGGTAAGCGAAGTTGAGGCTACCCGCAGAGGTATCTAGATTAGGCCTACGCAGCGCGGACAAGTTCACCTCTCTCATAGGTATCCAGGCAAACGACCTATCACGTGCCTGCTAAGTAAGGGGCCCGTGTCCCAGGCACCAATGCCTCCCGCGGCTTCCATTCTCTCCGGATATTCAACCGCTCTCACCAAATTCCACGCTGAATCTAAGGTTCTCATTTTCAAGACCTTCACCATTTTCCTGCTCATGTACTCGAAGTTTGTTCCTTCTCGAATATCCAATTGCAGAAACCATGAAGCGTTTACAAAGAATTATTCTAATTAAAATATTTGTAAGTACAACAAAACAAACCTAGGATATTTCTTAGATCACGGTGCAAGGCCCTATGAGCCCGTCATCCTTACCTCCCTAGATTTCGTCAAGTTACACTGAGCCGTAAATGATGCTTTTCCTTTACCTGGAATAAGTAAGGCTCTTACCACCTTAGCTGCGATCACTAAACGAGACTTGCATACCTTCAAGAGGCTTTTATCAACAAAGTATGGGCGTTGCTGGACTAGACAAAAGATCATTGACGTGAAGGAAGGAAGGCATAAAGTCTGAACAAAAAGGCCTAGAAGTGGACAGAGCTCAAAGGCTTCGATTTCTGCTTTGATTGTTGATAGAGATCATTCAAATACAGTTTGTCTTGTACGGCATCAAAATAAGGGCGGAGGCCAGCTTCAAAGCTGCGCTACGAAGGGCTTGGATGGCTGTTACCTAGTGTCGCCATGCTTCGAAGCATATATGGCCTAAACGGGAAGGTATGAATCAACGTTCCATCACTTAGACTTTTAGTACATAACATCGAGTGATATTGCTATGAATATCTGTATGTGCATGGTCATGATAGACAGACATCATTCATATTGACTACGGGACGTTCAGCTATCGAGACAGTCGTTCTTTACCATGCTGGATATCTTTGTCTCAACCTAAGACTGTTGATAAACAGTAGGAGAAAGCGCTGCATGCTTAAGTGCTTTTGAGAAGAGCTTGGAAGAGCCAAGACATTTGATATTGTCAAAAGATTGGCTGATTGGTACATATAAAGATTGGGAAGTTATCACCCATAATTTTGCCCAAGAAATCGGTTGTCTATGGAATTCTGTCAGGAGAAAATTCGAATCCCGGAATCTCTTTCTGGTACAGAGTGAAGGGGTATGAAATTTCGGGACACCGAAAGAAAACAAGAACGACATTGAACTGGTGAGCCTTTGAACTCATTTCGTGCCATGCATATTTTGATAGATCTCCGTCAAACTGCGGCTGATGTCTGAGCATTTCAAAGCAATAAACTCAGCCCTGGGGGCTCGATTCTAACTCCGAATTTCGGCTGAATTCTTGTCGTTTGGAGTCTTTACTATCAGCATGAAGGATTCATGAGTTTCAACGAGTGTTACTCCGAGGTATGAACCGAAAACACTTTCAATAGAGAACCCAAGAAACGGATCATGGACTATAGAAAAAAAGTCCAGTTTCCCGACAGATTTCTCTAGAGCCGCCAGACGGAGTCTCCACCTCTACCATGGAGTCTTTGGGCGCGGTTGACATTTGTTGCCAAGATTCCTCAACACTAGAAAGGACCGATGCCAAGTGTTGATATGGGGTGCGGCGGTGAGCGCCAAGGCCACCATACGAAGACCTAGACGGACGTGATAGGCACGTTGAGCGCTAAAATGGGGTTTGCGACATTTTATCAGATCAATGCCTCTGTAAAGCTTGTCAGATGGATCAGATAAGATGCAAAGCTAGCAATTTATGGAGGCACTGTCTGCAGGATGCTCGGCCTTCTGCCCGAGACGTGATTGTAAGTGTAAAGGAGAACCGGATATATAATATCGTTTCTTGACGCTTGTTTGCGAGTGTTTCCGCAAGCCATAGAACTTTTCTACAGATCTATAGACCTTGCTTGGCGGCTTACACTGTACCATCATCAAGATGCCAGACACCCCAGAATCACCAGTCCCCGTCCAGGATGAAGAAAAGACACAACCAGACATCGACATCCAAGCCCTCGGTATCTCGCCCGCCGACCTACCTCCCATCGATACCGAAGACGAGACCCTCCAACGAATCCCCTGGTCCTACAAATGGATCGCCCTCCTCTGCATCGTCTCCCTCCCTATCGGACACACCTGGACGGGTTCCGCTCTCGGCCCGCTCAAGAACACACTGCGCAACGAGCTCGGCGTAAATAATGCGCAGTTCGGCGTCATCAGCAGCGCCGACGCCTTTGTCAACACCGTGTTTCCGATTGTTGGCGGGTTGGTGCTCGACTGGTGGGGACCGAACCTCGTTACGCTGTGCTGCACTGCCGTGATCCTCGTCGGGTCCGTGGTTGCAGCGGCCGGGGTACAGGTTGGGCTGTGGAGGGTTCTTGTGAGCGGGCATGTGCTCATGGGGTTCGGTATTGCGGTGCTAGACTCTGCTACGCAAAAGGTGAGTTAATTTTCTGCGTTCAGGGATGATGTGGTTAGCACTCTTTGGGGTATCTTGGCTGACGGGAAGTCTCAAGTTCTTCTACCACTGGTTCGGCGCATCAGGCCTCGCCTTTGCCTTCGGCCTCGAGTCCGCCATCGCCAACACGGTCAGTCTCGTCTCGGGCATGGTCGCCATCCCCATCCGCGACGGAACAGGTTGGTACGGTTGGACATTCTGGATCCCCGTTTTCTTCTGCGGCTTCTCCCTTATCGTAAACATCGCCTACGTGACCTTCGAGCGCCTCGCCGTCCCGCCGCGCTTCCGACTGACCTCGGGCCGAGCCCGCGCCATCGCCGAGCAGCAGAACCTCTCGGACCGACGCCGCTTCTCCTGGAACGTCTTATTCGCCTTGCCATGGGCCTACCTCATGCTCCCCGCGACACAGCTGCTCCAGAGCGGTGCCGCGGGCGGTTTCAGCACAAGCTCGGCCGACATCATCTTCATGAAGGGGTATACGGAGGCAGTGGCGGGATACCTGTCGACGGCGCAGAAGATTCTGCCCATTGTTCTGAGCCCGTTTGTCGGCCTTGCTATCGACAAGTACGGACACCGGTTTCACTACGTGGCGACGGCCCCGGTATTGTGGATTATTGCTTGCGCAATGTTGGGGTTCACCGACGTCCATCCACTTGCGGCACTTGTCTTTTCTAGCTTGGCGGGCGTGATCAACTCGATGCCATTGCAGATTTGTATTCCGCTGCTGGTGGCGGACCAGGCAAAGATCGGGACGGCGTTTGGGGTGTGGAGGGCGTTTAACAACTCTGGGTCGACGATTGTAAGTCGAACTTCTTCACGTCTTCCGCGGCCTTCCATTGCTCTGTTGCTTTTGGAGCACTTGAGACAGGTACTAACGTCTACTTCCTAGATGGACGTCGTCTTTGGCGCGCTTCAAGACGACACGGAGGGGAACGGCTATTCCAAAGTCTTGACCGTCGCGATTGCCATTAAGGCATGGGCATTTGTGCTGGGCCTGTGGTACATTATCGTTGATTATCGATTCTTGGGTAGGGGGATGACTTTGACCAGGAAACAGAGACAGGCGAAGGAGGCCTTGATTATGGACAGGCAGGCGGATCCGCTGACGAGACGGACGTCGAAGAAGTGGTTCACTACTTTGACATTTGGGTTGTTGGTTGCAATTATTGCGAGTGCTTGGGCTGTTTTTGTGAGATATTTGATTTGAGAGACGAGGGCATAATCATTCAGCTAAGATCGGGGAGGGCAGCACCAATGGTTGACAGACGCTACAGCATATTTGCAAAATCATCTAGAACCTGAGTATCATGGATCAACAGAACGGATGTACAATTGTCTACTGTCGGCTATTGAAATTGTTGCCAAGTGTTTGATGTACCGCGTTTGCTATTCGCATTACTTTTATACATCTTCTTCTACCTTTATGTTGATCCCAACATTCTCTTTTCTCGTCGCATGTGTGGTGTCTTCTACTTTGGTTGAGTTTGGGAATCTGTAGAATCTGATGCGATGATCGACGCTACATACCGAATGGGTTAATGGCCACTGGCGAGATGTTACACCAGTAAGATGTCTGACCTGAAGCCCCCTATTGAACCACAAGAGCGCCAAGCAATTTCGTTTCACGTAAACGACGCCCTCGGATATTGACTCTGGTCACTGCACCCTTTACAGTTTTGTTCAATGCCAGGAGAGAAACAATAGGCACCAACACAATGAATTGAGAAAAGGAAATTGTCTGTTCAGTTCGCTGCTGTGTAAAGTGTGAGAAGGAAAGGATACTCTGAAGGACAACTCCCAGTAGCATTGATAATCAGTTATGAACGATACTTTACGGAATAGCCCGTGGGAGTTGTCAAGAGCCAATCGACAGCTGGGTTTAGACCCAAATTCGGTAATGTTGGCTGCAATGAAATCGGAAGAAACAAGCACCCCGTTGGCCGCAAAGGTTGGCGCCTGGCCGACAATCTCGCATTCGCTTTCACTACGACAGAACTACCTCCTCCTGTGGCTCCTCTGGCCACCGCTCTCAATAAAATACATGCACGAAGTATGGAGTGTATCAGTACGCCATGTCCGTATCCGTACGCTTACCAACTCCAGCCGCCCACCGAGTGCAGGAACCGATAAAGTTGCCCGCGATCTACTCTCCTAATTGGAAACACTCTCCGCCATATCGCAGGACCAAGACCTTGGAATCGCTCTCTCAACGGGAAACAGGGCTCCACAGTACTAAGTATATGCTTGGATGGCACCCCCTGCCTGCCATGCCTGGGGTTGAATTGAGCTTTTCGAATTGGGGGAGGTGGAGGCCCTGTCAGACAATAATCTGCCCACTCAGAGTCAAACGCCTGCATCCAGACCACTCCGCGGACCGGCGCCTACGGGCGAGTCGGGGGGCTTGCAGACTTGCTGGTCTCGGAAAAACGAGCAAACGCGGGCACAGCTCTGAGCTCTTTGCGGCTTGCTCCCCCTGAAACTCGGCCATTGACGCGCCCACAAACAGAAGTGTAATTTCCGTGTGGCGGATCCCAAGGACTTTTACATCCCGCACGTCAACGGTCACTTCTGCTATTCTGTTGCGAGTATACATATTATCGATTTCTAGACTCTTGGCGCCATCTCGTAAAGACCCCCAGAGTCGCGCGAGTGGATTTCGCTAGAGCTGGATTGAGCTTATTGAAACATCATGGACGCTGAGTGCCAAGAAACATGGTCAAAGTCGTATTGGCACAAATTCACAATGGGCGAATTGAGGCAAGGTCACTGCCAAGGATCGCCTCATTCAGGAGGTCTTCTCTGTTGACGCTTCGTGTGGTTCCGTCCAGCGTAGAGTAGAAAATGTAAGGTATACCCAGGTGAATGTACATGCTGCTTGTTTCTTCTGAGTTGTTGTTGTTGTTGTTGCTGCACTTCTTGATCTTCGTTTCGAAGCCTTCCGTTCTTTGCTCCCATTTACACTCATTTTCGGTCCTCTGGACACTTGTCATTCTTTTCTCCTATACCAAATTTCTTCCCTCGGAGCAACAATGCTTGCCTCTTCCCTTCTTTTGCTGTCGTCCCTGGTGGCCGGCGCATTCGGCGCGGCCCGGACATCCCCTCCTTCCGGCGCTCTGGTCGTCGCAAAGTCCGGGGGCAAGTACACCTCCATCCAAAAGGCCGTCGACGCCGCCAGTAGCGGCGCCGTCATCTTCATCCAGCCGGGCACCTACAACGAGCAGGTCCTGATCCCGGCCAACAAGGGCGCCCTCACCATCTACGGCTACACCGCCGACGACCAGGACTACTCCAAGAACCAGGTCACCATCACCAACAGCCTCGGCGCCGATGTGGCCGGCAGCAACGACGCCTCCGGTACGTTCCGGGCCAAGAACGACAACCTCAAGGTCTACAACATCAACATTGTCAACTCGCGTGGCAAGGGCGTCCAGGCCATCGCCCTGAGCGCCTACGGTAACCAGCAGGGCTACTACGGCATCCAGGCCAAGGGATACCAGGACACCATCCTCTCCAACCAGGGCAAGCACTACTTCCACAAGTCGTACGTCGAGGGCGCCACCGACTTCATCTTTGGCCAAAAGGCCGTTGCCTGGTTTGAGGCCTGTACCCTCGCCATCAGCGGAAAGGGCTACATCACCGCCTCGGGCCGCGACTCTTCGAGCAACCCGTCCTGGTACGTCATCAACAAGGCCACCGTCAAGGCCCTCTCCGGCGTCGGCGACGGCCAGACCTTCCTCGGCCGGCCCTGGCGCACGTTCGCCCGCGTCGTCGTCCAGAACTCCAACCTCGGCGCCGTCGTCAACGCCGCGGGCTGGTCCAAGTGGGGGTCTAACCCGACCGACAACGTCGTCTACCAGGAGTACGCCAACACCGGCAAGGGCGCCAGCGGCACCCGCGCCAGCTTCTCCAAGAAGATCAGTGCCGCCGTGAAGATTGGCGACGTCCTCGGCTCCACCTCCTGGATCGACTCAAAGTACACCAGCGGAAGCGCCGCCAGCTCCGTCTCGCTGGAGTTGTCTGCCGCCGTCTCCGCCCCTGCCGTGGCCGCCGATGCCGCGCCCGCTTCTACCCCCACGCCGACCACCCTCCAGACCGTCGTCAAGGCATCCTCCACGCCCGTTCCCCAGGCCGCCGCGGACGATGACTGCAGCGGCACCCCCGACGGTTTCGCTTCGCTGAACGGCGGCACCACCGGCGGCAAGGGCGGCGAGGTCGTCACCGTCAAGACGCAGGCCGATCTCGAAAAGTACGCCGGCATGTCGGGCAAGTACGTCATCAAGGTCTCTGGCAAGATCACCATTACGCCCAAGGGAAAGGAGGTCAAGGTCTCGTCCGACAAGACCATTGTCGGCATCGGTGCGACTGCCGAGATTGACCAGGGCGGCTTCAACGTCCAGAACCAGAAGAACATCATCTTCCGCAACATCAAGATTGGTAAGTATCCTGGCCCATCGACTGGGTAGCCCGGTACGAATCAATGATTAACATGGGAGTTCCAGGCAACACCTACGTCGAGGGTGACGACGAGGGCAAGACCCAGGACTTTGACGGCATCCAGATGGACAACTGCACCAACATCTGGATCGACCACGTCCACCTCGAAAAGGGCGGCGACGGCCTCATCGACAGCCGCAAGGACACCACATTCCTCACCGTCTCCTGGACCATCCTCCGCAACCACAACAAGGCCTTTGGCATTGGTAAGTAAACCCATAATCCTCTGCTGATACATGCCCTGTCCGTCCCCTCTTCTCTAACAACTCCCGTCTTCCAGGCTGGACCGACAACGTCAACACCGAAATCACAATCCACCACAACTACTTTGACCAAACAAAGCAACGCAATCCCTCCGTCGACAACGTCAAACACGCCCACCTCTACAACAACTACCTCGTCGGCCAGACCTCGTACGGCCACTACGCCCGCGGCAAGACCGAGATGCGCATGGAGAACTGCTACTTCGAGAAAGTCAAGAACCCGATCCAGCTCGACGCCACCGCAAAACTCAGCGCCACGGGCAACGTCTTCAAGAGCACCACCGGCACCACGGCCAAGAACGCCGGCACCGTGTTCGATCCCAAGACGTTTTACGAGTATACCCTCGACGCCGCGGCTGACGTGCCGAGCGTTGTTGCAAAGGGGGCTGGGCGCCAGGCTAGCATCTGCGCTGCGTGAGCTTAGGAGGCGGGTTAGATCTTGGGTGATGTTTACCTTGTGGTCATCTGATCTCTCGAATGCGTAAACGGAGAAGGAGAGTAAGAAGAAGAAGAGGACGAAGGAGAGAAAAGGGGTTGAAAATTCTATGTATTTATTATGATGGCATGTTGCCGTTGACGAAGCATATACTCTCTAGATTCGTTCATATTGACTACGAGCATACACAATCAGACCCCTTACCTTTGGTGACAGAGCACGGGGAGTAGCATTTTCATATCTTATATCCATATTTGTGTCATCCAACGGATTGAGTGGCGGCGGTTGGATCACTGCCATGTTATCCTGGAACGCCATGCTTCGCTGTGCCTTGGCTAAGGGCGAGTGGGCTTACTTGAGAACCAGCATCCTCTTCAACTACACTCAAGGTCATGCAACACCTCTATAGCGATCTTCAGCAAAACAATGATACTCCCGTCAGTACGATCTTTAGCAAAATATGTGGCATCAAAGCTTGCCAAACTACTCTGAAAATAGCCCGATAGACGGGACCTCGCGTATACATGACAACCACTGCAGGCCCTTCCTCTTTCTTCACCCTCCTCCTCCGACTCGATCATGTACCAAAAGCGTCAAATTTGATAGCGGAGTGCTGGAAAGCCTCATGTCGGCAAGAGTAATCAACTTTGTGAGAACATGAATCCTGTCTCTTCCAGTACTCCCACCAAAACGGCC